AGTTTACAACAATTTGGTATAGTTTAGTGAACAAAGGTGGAGGCATCTGATTTTTCTGTCTACTTGGTTCTTCCAAAATTTGGAAACTATTCATGTATATTCTTAGTTTTAAGTACAATAAAATTATTTATATAAGTTCAACAAAAATCTATTCTCTTTTTACAGCAGGGTACAATTTGATTATAGTACAGAGGTTTTGACTGAATATCATATTTGAAGGTATCCACAGAAAGCCTAGTTTTAAGGCTTTCCAGCCTTACAATCAGTAAATAAAAATTGTCATTTCCTGGCAGGCCCAGGAACATTCAGATTGTAAGTACAATCGAAGATCTGCCCAGGTTTGGCTTTCTAGCCTCAAGAGGTTTTTAAATCTGATAACCTACGTGATCAGTGTAGGGAGAAAAAGTTCTGTTTCCAAAGAAAAATTATGATACTCTTGTTATTAGACTGTAGCTCTGAGCCTTGTTTTCGAGTTCTTGTTATCTGCCTGTAGAATGGGCTCGTGCTGAGTTCTCCTAACTTTCTCCAATGTTTGGCTATAATTCTCCAACTAAAAACTAAAACTGCTTCTCTCCTAAAGCCCTGTAAGATGAACCTAAACACATTTTAAGAAACAAGCCTCATGCCTGATGTATGGTCCACACATGAGGTTCACCAAACCGCTTGATGCCACAACCAGAGATATCCAAGCTGTAAACTGGAAGGAAAAGTTGGTATTTTCATGTTGTAAACAGTTTTTCCCTAGACATTGGAACAAGACTCCATATCACAAGGAGACCCTAACTCCTCAACTCCTCTTAATGTCTATCTTTTACACTTGACAGGATAATGATGAAATTGAAATTTCACAATCAGTAGCTTCTGTTGGTAACTTAACAGAGCATAACCTTTAAAAATCCTTTAGTAACACCTATAATCCCAGCACTTTGGGAGGCCGAGGTGGGTGGATCACCTGAGGTCAGGAATTCGAGACCAGCCTGGCCAACCCCGTCTCTACTAAAAATACCAAAAATTAGTCGAGCGTGGTGGTGCATGCCTGTAATCCCAGATACTCAGGAGGCTGAGACAGGAGAATCACTTGAACCTGGGAGGTGGAGGTTGCAGTGAGCTGAGATTGCACCACTGCACTCCAGTGTGGGCAACAAGAGGGAAACCCCATCTAGAAAAAAAAAAAAAAAAACTTTAGTATTCATTGGTTAAATAAGAAAATGCCTGTGCATTTCTTATTGTGGTACCTGGATCAATTCCTCGGGGAAAGTTGAGACCCACATACACAAAAGATGAAAACAGGCCACGTCATTAAAGTCTTACCTAATTCCCTATGGTCGCTGATTCATTCCATTGTCTTTAAGCCTACCAGGTTCATGGATGCAAATGGGGATTGACATATTACTATTAATTTTACTTTTTATTTCCCCTTTTTGAACTTTGTATCTGTTCCTTGTCGACTTTTTTTCCATCCAGGATACATAGCAATAAAGATCATGTTTTTGAGACAGGGTATTGCTGTGTTGTCCAGGCTGACCTTGAACTCCTGGACTCAAGCAATCTTCCCACCCCAGCCTCCTGAGTAGCTGGGACTACAGGAATGAGCCACCACACCTGGCTACTTGTTAACTGATTTGCAGAAGTACAACTCCTAACAGTATAATGCCGGCCCAGCACTTTCAGATGATAGCAAAAGATCATGGAAAAGACAAAATTGAACTTAACAATGCACTCCAGGTAGACTTATCCAGGGAGCCACTCCCTTCAAACTTCCCTTGCTGCTCAAATGTGGCTAAAAGGGTTTTGACACTGGATCCTAGTCAGCAATCATTCCCCTCGAAGTGGGGTGAGACCACCAGCAAAGACAGGTCCATCTCAGCACGGAGAGGCATCGAAACCTAACCACAGGGTGTACACAACATGCTTGTACACAACACCCCTGACAAACACAGTCAGGGAAGGCCAAGAACAAAGGGTTCTCATGCTTGCACACCTGATAACAAAAACGATGACAAACCCCAAAACCTGGCACTAAAGCCATCATAATTTTACACAAAAGGTGCTTTGGCAAGATCACCTGCCCAGCAATTGCCTGTCCAACCCCAGACTGGATCGTCCTTGTTACCGACCTCTGTACCAAGGACCATTATCTCAAAATAATTACGTTGATTCCTTCCCCGTCTGAATATGCAGCCTTTACTGTGGAATGTATATTCCCATTGCAATGCTCTATGCTTGAAAAAAATATCTTTTTCTTTGAGAGAGGCTTTCTCTGTTTGTTCTTTAGGTTGACAGAGTATTATGTTTTCTCATCTGTGCCTAGTGAGCTTTGAGGTTCAACAACTGCCGTCCTTCCCCTTAACCTCTTTCTGTCCTGGCCTCGTAGCACGGACGCTCGTCTGCCAATCAAACAACACATGTGAGTTTGGAGGAAACACACGTCAGTGAGGAAAAGCGACCAGAGGCTTCACCGAAACCACCGAGACGCGGATAAACCTACAATTCCGGGATGTGAGATTCCTCCTTTCCCCTGGGCCACTACGTAAAGGTGACTGCATTACAGTCCATACCTCTTATCTGTGGCCCCAGTATCCTTTTTTTTTTTTTTTTAGGACAGGGTCTCGCTCTGTTGCTCAGGCTGGAGGACAGTGGTGCAATCACAGCTCACTGTGGCCTTGACCTCCTAGGCTCAATGGATCCTCCCACCTCAGCCTCCTGAGTACCTGGGACTCCAGACAGGTGCACACCACCACACTCAGCCAATTTTTTGTAGAAATGAGGTCTCGCTATGTTGCCCAGGTTGGTCTTGAACTCCTGGGCTCAAGCGATCCACCTGTCTCAGCCTCTCAAAGTGCTGGGATTACAGGCATGAGCCACAGTGTCTGGCCCAAATCCATAGTTCTAAACATGGAAAGTTTTGTGTACTTCATTTGGCAGGAAAGTCTAACCTGAACTGGCATGAGACTACCCATGATCCTTTTCACCCTGCTTGTATTTTGCTGCAGGAGCATCAGTTTGATGAGGGTGTTGCCCCAGGCCCCCAAATGGAACATGCACACATCACTTTCCTAACATCAGAATAATCCAGAATTCTGGGAAACACATCTGTTTCTAAGATTCTTGACTACGAGGTGGTGGCTTATGCTAATTTTCCTGACTGTGGCCTCACTTTCTTCCCAATAAATTTGTTTCAATCTGTTGATACTAATGTTTTATTTCATGATACCTGTAAGATAGCTGATTTTAACCAAAGGTAGCACACCAATTAAAGACAAGGTAAGTTTCATTTGCTGTCTAGCATCTCTAATTGGAAGACCACAGGGCATCTATCCAGGTTGGAGTTGTAATCATCTAGGGATGTCCACATCTGTCTACCTAGATCAGTCTGTCAGTTCCATCAAGGTCTGCATTTCAAATCCCTAAATAACACATGGTTCTTCCCCTTTTACAGAATTATGTTTTCAAACCAAAGTTCACACACCGCCGGTGGGAACAGGTTCAAATAGGGAATGCTGATACGTATCAACATCCTTTGAGACAAACCTGTTCACCCCTACTTTCTCTCTCGCAGGCGCTGACATCACCCAGGGCTTGCGCTGCTGGGAGTGTTCAAAGGAAAACGTGAGAAACATTAAATTTAACAGAGTTTAACTGAGCAAAGAAATGATTCAGGAATCAGGGAGCCCCTCAAACCACAGCAGGCTCAGAGAGACTCCAGTGTCACTGTGTGGCCGAAGACTCACGGACAGAAAAAGGAGTGAGGCACAGAAGGCAAACAGCAGGCGGCTACAGCTCGCATGTGGCCTATTGAAACAGAGTTTGAAGAGCTGACCACCTGTGACTGGTTCAAGAGCAGGTTATACTCTGTCCACACATCCAGTTAGATTACAGATCACTATGTATGGAGAAACCTACAGGCTAAACTTAGGAGTATGTAAGGAGGCGGCTTCAGGCTACATTTGAGTAGTCTGTCCTTACAGTGTCAACGAGGGGTTCATGGGAATCCATCATCATCCAGTGGCCTTGTAAATGTTGCCCATGCTTTTAGTTTTGTTACCTGGTTGATCTGTTTTATGCGATTGTGAGAAACTGAAAGACTGACTGCTGGTGCCATTTTCCCACAATCTCTATTTTTTAAAAAATTAGCCGGGCGCGGTGGCGGGCGCCTGTGGTCCCAGCTACTCAGGAGGCTGAGGCAGGAGAATGGCATGATCCCGGGAGGCGGAGTTTGCAGTGAGCCGAGATCGCGCCACTGCACTCCAGCCAGGGGGACAGAGCGAGGCTCCGTCTCAAAAAAAAAAAAAAAAAAAAAAAAAAAATCCCATAAACGCTCTCTCGTGAGCGCCGCACGTTTTCCCTTGCAGTCATGGGGGCAGGGGCTGGAGAAGGCAGCAGAGATAGGCAAAACCCCACAGCTACAACACATGCACTCCTAACAGCAAGTAATGGTGAGGGCTAAAAGGCACTGTGCCCATTCTGTGCCATTCTAATTACCAAATGCAAATGGTTTTGAGAAAACAGAATCTGAGGAACGTGAGTCTTTTTAACTATCAGGCCGAGAGAGACATTCAAATGAGGTGACAATCACGCCCCACTACCCCTTGACCTGTGTTCATCTCTTTAAACTGCGCCCGGTGGCAATAGCGCTACAAACAGCTATAAATTAACCTAATAACGCCACGCTGGACACTACACCCACACTCAACAGCTTAACAACAGAGTCAGTCACTAATCAATATTATTTCTGTAAACCAGTGAAATTCCAGACAAACAAGTTCCTTTTAGTCGACTCCCTGGCTCCCATTTTTGCCTTTAAAACCCACTGCTAACTGCTAATCGGAGTACACACTCAGGGTGCCTTGAATTTGTGCTCCTCAAGGGTGGCCCAAATAAACTCTCTACTTAAAGAAACTGTGCCTCCGCTTCCTTTTAGGCCGACAGTTTGCAAAGTGTTTACTAACATGAGAAAAGCCACCATATAAAAGTGAGGGGAAAAGACAAATACAGGATAATCTCAATTGTACATAACATTTATATATGTAAGGACAAAGACACACAGTAAAAAAAGAATTCGGGCACGTATTAAGGCTGAAAAAGTAAGAACAGTCCAGAGCGGCCTGGCTCAGTCCAGCCTCCCGCCTAGTAGCTGGGACCTCAGCCACGGCGCCCGGCTAAGTATTAATGAATCTATTTTAGAGATGGGGTCTTGCTATGTTGCCCAGGCTGGTCTCCAACTCCCAGGCTCAGGTGATCCGCCCGCGTCAGCCTCCCAAAGTGCCGGGACTACAGGCTGGGCCGCCCGCCCGCCAGCTTAATTCACGTAAACTCCCGACAAACGTAGAAACTGGCTCTCCTTTAATAAGACACTTGCGGCTGCTGCTCATCAGGGTTCGCCCGCGGCCACTGGGACCACGCGCCTTGCCCGCCCTCCCGCTGCGGTCGCTCGGATTTTCTGAGCCCACCAGGCGCTTCCGGGCGCCTTGCCCCAGGCCGGCCCACCGCCTGCGCCGGCCGAGGGCGGCGCACCTGCCCCTGCGCTTCCGCGTCGAAGGGGAGGTCGGAGGAAGAGAAGACCACAGCAGCTCCCGCGGCGTGGGGTCCTGGCTGGACACGGGGCGGGACACGAGGCAGGACACGAGGCGGGGCCACCCGGACGCCAACAGCCTCAGGTCTCTGTGCCCGCGGCGCGCACGGCATGCCAGGACCCGTAGTCTCGCGACATTGGGACGCGCAGGGCGCGACGGAAGTCGAGGAGAGCGGCTCGCGGTGCATGCCGGAACTCGTAGTCTCAGGAGGCTGGGTCTCCGCGTGTGACGAGGTAATAGGCCGCCCGCCTGCGTTGAACGCTGGGACTCGTAGTCCCGCCATGCCCTACCCGCGATGCACGCCGGGATATGAAGTTCCGAGCGCGCCAGGACCGTCACTGGGACTGGGGGACAGCGGGCCGCGCTGCATGCCACTGCTCCACGGTGCCGGCTCCCCGAGGAAAAGTAGGGCTCAGGAACGCAGTACTCCGCGGCCGGCACGCAGGCTTGGTCCCAAGACGGAGCCGGCCCCGACACTCGCGTTTACACGCGCACGTACGCACGCACGCACGCACGCGGCGCCCTTGCCGTGACGTCACGCGCCCTCCAGGAAGTCGGCGCGGGCCAGGCGGCGGGTGGAAGCCGGTACCGAGAGGAACTACAGCGTCGCCGCTTGGGTCGTGCCGCCGCGGTGGGCGCTGCGCTCTGAGCGCAGCGCAGGCCCCGTAGCGACCGCCCGCCCTCTGTCCGCGATGGAGGTGCCGGCCGCGGGCCGCCTTTCCTCCGAGGGCGCCCCGACGGCGACCGTGGCCGAGGTGCGCTGCCCGGGGCCCGCGCCGCTGCGCCTGCTGGAGTGGAGGGTGGCGGCGGGCGCGGCCGTGCGCATCGGCTCGGTGCTGGCCGTGTTCGAGGCCGCCGCCTCCGCGCAGCCCGCTGGGGCCCCTCAGTCCCGTGCAGCCTCCGGGGGCTGCGTGCGCCCCGCGCGGTCGGAGCGCAGGCTGAGGTCGGAGCGCGCGGGCGTGGTGAGGGAGCTGTGCGCGCAACCGGGCCAGGTGGTCGCTCCAGGGTGAGTGCGCCGGGCCGGGCGGGGCCAAGAGCGGGCGGCTCCGGGGAGGGGTCCTGGGGGACCGCCCGGGCTGCTGCGGCCGCGTGGACAGGGGCGCCCAGGGGACGGGGCGATAAAGCGGGACGCGGGCACTGCGCTTCTCTCCTAAAACTGGATAGTCACTACCTGTGGTTTTACCAACGGGGAGCATTTCGAGATGAAAGGGTCCTGCATAGCGACACGAAGTTACTGTTTGGGAAAGCGATGGTGTTTGTTTTTTCCTTCTACAGTGATAGTCCCCGCCCCTTTCTTTAGCTCCACCTTTGTGACTTGGGAAAACTCATGGGTGGCTGTGAGCACAAGAGTCATCAGGCAGGCTCCAGACCTGTTATTAATGGGCGTGTGCACATCTTTAAATTTTGGTAAACTTTGTGAAACGCAGTTGTAAAACCTGGCGCAGCTCTGTTCCGTGGCTAAGGAACAGGCGGAACCCAGGCCTGCAGCGAAGGCAGTGGCCCCGTGGTTGACCACAGTGGACATTGTTGCAGGCTGCTTCAGGTGATGTGGGCGTGTGACAGACTCCACAGCTGTCCGTAACTCTGCTCTGACCCCAGAACCCCTTCTGGGATGTGTTTCCGTAACACCGAAGCGTCCAGCCGTGTCTGAATCTACCCTTGTGTTCTGGGATGGGCAGGCACGTAGGCACGTGTGTGCGCCTGGCTGTGGTGGTTTTGATTGTCAGAACAGAAACTCCAGGGAGAGGTGGGCACTCCAGCCTGCAGTGGGCCGGGCCTGAGCTCCGTCTGGGAATGATGCCGCTCCTTCGGGGGATGCCAGTCTCTCCCTCCTCGGCAGCCGCCGTTCCTCGTCCCTGTGGCTTGCCCTGACCCTGTGTTTGTTGAGGATCTGCTCTGCACCTGGTTCCGCAGGAGTGAGGATTGGGACAGGATTTCACCCATCACAGCCGTAGAACGTCCTGGCTCCGCTTCATTTGCAGACAGAGCCTGGGTCCTCGACCCTTTGCACGGGCACCCACTCCTGTCCCCTGTGTGCTGGTGGGTGGGGCTGGGGGGTTGAGGGCCGTGCCTCCCAGGCAATGCTTGCACGGCTTCCTCAGTGGGCACTGGTCTTACCTGCGAGGATCGTCGAGGCAGACCCCACCAGTGCTGGTGTATTCCCTGGGCAGAAAACCCCAGGATCGAAGAGCCGTACTGATGTTTGGTTCTGTTCCTCTGATTGTACAGAAAGGCCACTTTGACCTAGACAGGTGAATAACTTGGTTATGTGACTAGGTAGTATTGAAACTCCATGTTCAGTCAGTCTAGTGAATAAAACCAACCCAGTGCATCAATCAGCCGGCTAATTAGTTTGATGACGGGTTCCCAGCAGTCAGTACTGTTTTACAGGGAGGTGCTGTTTGAGATCTTGGGGTACCTCACAGCAGTGGTTTGTCACAGGGCCCTTTGAGACACTGACGTGATGTCATTTCTCCTCAGAGCGTCTGTGTGGCACCAGGTGTTCCTCTAGTTCCAGAAGGCTCGTCTGTCTGCCTCCAGTCCACTGGTGGCAGGTGAATCCCTGCCTTAGAGAAAGCCACAGGCGGTGTTTCCTGGAATTTAAGGTGTCTCCTTTCCCATTTCCGTGTGCTCCTGTGGGTTTGTGGATAGGGGTTTTACGAGCATTCTGGGGAGTGTGGTGGTGTGACGTCAGCATTTCCGGAGGTCTTCCTGCCCTTGCAGTGGGCATGGGTGCCATAGATCCAGGAAGGAGCGGCTGGAAAGGCTTTAGTCTGAAGCCCTGTGTGCGTGTGCCCTGGCAGTTCTGGTCGTCTGTTTGGAATCAGGTTCCTGCCTCGGTTGTTAGCTAGCTGAATTCGGGAGGTGCATTTGCAGCAGGAGGCCATGCTGCTGACAATGGCTCTGTTCGGTCCTGAGGACGCTGCCCTGGCTTGGCGGGCTGCCGTTGGGAGCCGGTATGTGTTGGCCTCCCCAAAATGCCTGCTGCACCTTTGTAGAACACGGTTGAAAATTGCTAGATTAAGTCACTTGTTGACAGATTTTGTGGACAGGGTGGGGGTTACAAGTGCGTTTCTCTGGCAGCACGCCTGTGATGGGAGTAGCGCCCTGCAGTGTAGACTTGTGGCTTTGCCGACGTCTCTGTAGAGAGCTGCAGGTAGAAATCTCCGCAGCTTTTGCTTGAAGCCCAACAGTGACGCATCTCTCCAGGACATGAGTTCCAACTCAGCAGCTCTATACAGTTTGCAGCTGACCCTTGAACGACTTGGTTTGGGCTGCGAGGGCCACCTTTATGTAGATGTTTTTCAGTAAATCGTCTGCTCTCTTCGCATCCGTGCGTTCCATGCCTGACACTGTTTGCTGGGTGTGGAGCCCAGCCTGTTTATACAGAGGGCTGACTTTCTGGATCCGTGGGTTCTCCAGGCTGACTGTGGGACCTGAGTATCTGCAGAATCTGAAGGAGTCCTGGAGCCCGCCCCCCGTGGAGACTGAGGGGCTGATGATATATGGAAGTCTTCCCGTAACAGATTGTGCCGCTTTTTGATGACGTGGAGAATACTGGGCGTAATTCCATCCTGATGTTGGAAGGTGATGGGCATGAGTTTAGTTCTCGTCCCTGTGATGCCTCTGGGACGTTGGTTGGTGAAAAGCACCTCCCTTCCTCCAGAGAGCCTGAGTCACAGTACTTTCACTTGAAAGGTTTGTCCCGTGTTTTTCTTTTTTTCTCTGATTGCTGGTGTGGCCATGTCCAGCAGCAGCTCCACGGTTCTCTTCTGTGGTGTCATACCAGTTGGAGGCTAGAAGGTGAGGACATCAGGGAAGAGAACTGCCTTAAACCGTCAGTGACTCTGCTCGCCAGCCCAGGTGTTTGACTTTTATGGAGCAAGTTCCCAGAATTGCACAGGGGCCGTTTTAGAATTGACTTATCTTGGCTACCTCTAAAAGTTTTCTTGAAGTTACAGGTTCCTGAGATCTTTATCTGGGAGAGCAAGCATTTGGTTGAAGTTTGCTTTAAATGTTTGTAGACTGATTATTGTGTATTGATCCTTAGAGCACCCCTTTCAGGTTATGCAAATAACATGCCCTTGTACAGACCAGCACGGCAGAATCCACAACTGCTTTTGAGGAGGCTCCAACCCAGGCTTCAGCTCATCTGTGTCAAGGCCGGGGAGGTCCAGAATCTGCTCCTGGACTTGTGCTGAAGAGAGTCTCCCACTTTTAACACGGACTCCCCCCCCCCGCCCCCGGCGCTGATGGAACCCCGTGGCTCCTGGTGAGAGAGAGCAGGTCCTGCCCAGCTGACGGGTCAGAAACGCAGGTGTCAGAAACGGGGTTTCGGGGTGGCTGCCTGAGGAATGTGCAGGCAATCTGATGTTGGAATTCTGGCTTGGTTGAAGCCCTTGATGTGGCCACACAGTTTTGGTCCCTCAAGGGCTTACTGGGTGCCTGCGTGCCCTGGTGGCTGCTTGGTCAGGGCCTTTGGAGAAAGTCTTGGGAAATCAGGTTTCCGAGGGTGGTGTTGAGGACATTGCTGACGAGGTGTGGAATTTGGGGGTGGACGGCGGCTCTCTTGAGGCTCAGTCTGGTCACTGTGTTCACCCCGCGGGCGTTGTGAATTAGCTTCCCGCCCAGGATGGTTTTGGGACTGGGGGGTGCCTGCCCCGTTATTGTTCCTTCATCTTGATCCTTTCACAGGGCTTATAAAAATACTTGTGTTTCAGGAATAACGGGAAGTGTCTTTGAAAACAGCAGTAAATCTGCTAAACCAGAGTTTGCAGAGAGCAGACAGCGGCAGCAGCCTGAGCATACTGAGCTCCAGCGTCTGGCCATGTGCTGTCAGCTTAGTGAAGGTGGCTCCTGACCCTGCTGGCCGCCGGCTGCTTGACAGTAACTTGTTTAGCTGAGACTGTGTTTGAGAAACTGAAAGGTGTGGTTGTTGCTTGTACACGAGCAGCCAGCACGCTCAGTGCCGAGGAGCAGAGGACGTGCTGGTCCTGAGCGTAGATCAGAACGTCAGTCTAAACAGTTCTTTGTAGCACGGAATTTTAGCAAAGAAAGAATCCCACGTGGGTATGTGTGAGTGAGTCTTGTGTAGCCTGGTGTTGGTTACTGAGGCAGAGCACAGCGGAGAGAGGTAATGGAACCTGTGGCCCCATAAAACATCCCTCGGTAAATAGCAGGTGTGAGTGAATCTGTGAAAAGCACTAGCACCAGCCAGGCAAGGTGGGTCCGTGCCCTTGTTGTCTTCATTATTGTTATCAACAGCATTCATCCTAACAACATGAGTGGTTATTTTTAGACAAAGAACCATTCTGGGAACTTAAAAATACTGCATTTGGGTGAAGTTACAATAGTCACTAGATTGTTGTTCTGATCTTTAATAAGATTATATGTTTTTGTCAGGCTTCATCCTATCTGGCAGAAGGGCCTCCTCACTCTAT